AACACAAGCAGGGGGAGTGGGAGAGGGAGAAGCAGGCTTCCCGCTGAGCAGGAAGCCCGATGTGGGGCTCTATCCCAGGACCCTGGGACCATGACTTGAGCTGAAGGCAGACGCTTAACAACTGAGCCACCCAGGCGCCCCTTTAACAGAATCTTTTGCACATTGTGTTAGTAAGTTATTTTAGACCCAGCAACCTTCTACCCAGTAGTTTTGTTGTTGTTGTTGTTGTTTTTAAAGATTTTATTTATTTGACACAGAGAGAGAGATAGAGGGAGCACAAGCAGGGAGCGGGAGGCAGAGGGAGAGGGAGAAGCAGGCTTCCCGCTGAGCAGGAAACCCAGTGCGGGGCTCGATCCCAGGACCCTGGGATCATAACCCGAGCTGAAAGCAGCCTCTAACCGACTGAGCCACCCAGGTGCCCCATACCCAGTAGTTTTAGTATCCATTGGTGATACTTGCCTGAATCAATTACTGGCATTGTTGGTTACAAAATTAAAGTTTGAAGGGTTTTCTTTTTTTTTTAAAGATTTTATTTATTTGACACACAGAGAGAGAGACAGCTAGGGAGGGAACACAAGCAGGGGGAGTGGGACAGGGAGAAACAGGCTCCCTGCCGAGCAACGACCCCAATGCAGGGCTCAATCCCAGGACCCTGGGATCATGATCTGAGCCGAAGGCAGACGCTTAACGATTGAGCCACCCAGGCGCCCCTGAAAGTTTGAAGATTTTAAGCAGTAGAGAATTACAATAAGAATTGCATTTTAGAGAATACAGTGTTGGCAATTTTGTGGAAAACAGATTGGAAGGAGCCATGCTGGAGGCAAGGAGACAGGCAGTTTGCTTCCATTCAGATGTCACCTACTAATAGTACAAGATCTGCTGTAATGGGGTAGAGGGAAGGTTGAGGGGTTTGAATCTCCCTTTCCTGTTACTTCAAAAATAATTTCATAAAATTCACATATTTAACAATTTAGCCGGAATTTCTTGGTGCATATATGTTTATATAAATGACTCATATAAATAACTCAATAAATGACTTATATAAATAACTTATATAAATAACTCAAAAGTTATTGGTACAACTAAAAGTTTCAAAACGTTTGAAAAATTATATATGGTTAAAAAGTTGAGTTTTGAAATAATTCTTATTATATCCAGTTGTCTGGAAACTTTTTTAAAACTAAAATTTGGTCAACCTCATTTTGCATTTTAATTTTTTAAATTTTCTTAGGGTACACCAACTAGTATGCTGGAAGTTCAACAAGAGAATGTAATCAGTTCTCAAGACTTAACAGGTATGATAATGTGTTTCGATAAAGTACCACAGAACCGAATAGTACAGCTTTTACTCCCCTCCCTCATTTGACTATGGAAAAACAAAACAGTTTTTTAGTCTATGACAGTTTTAAATTAAAAACAAAAAAACTTGAAGTATTTTATGGAAAAGTTTGTTATTCAGAATTATACATCCTCTCTATAGTGAACTGTCTTTATCCTTTTTGAAATTACTTTTTACTTTTGTGGGTGTAATTTGCTTTTTATTTGTGGGGATAAGTTGTAGTGAGACTTTTTAGAAATGTAATAAATTAATGATTTTCATGGAAAAAATAATAATAAATTAATGATTTTCATAGTTCAGCTTTTCATTACTAACTTTTAAACTTTGATAGTGAATCTAGTTGCTAATGTACATCAAGATGGTGAGGATGAACAAGCATTCATTTTAACTCTGGTGGAAATCCCAGCCAATGCTGTAGAAGAATTTAGTGATACCACTGCACAGTTAATGCCAAACCCTTTACTGCCAGCACCCATATTGATCAAATCCGTGAATACAGAAGAAAGGAGTGACATGAGGTAATGAATGAGCTAACCTGTTTATTTAAATTCCAGTTAGTTAAATACAGTGCAATATTAGTTTCTGGTGTACAGTATAGTGATTCAACACTTCCATACATCACCTGGGACCTAAACTATTTTTGCTAGGAGGAAAGGTGCTTTATGAATTGAATAGTATTGACTGAATAAGCCGTTCACCAGCATTATTTGTAATTGTCCCGAAGATCTTATTTAATAATTATGTGGTAAGCTAGAGAAGAAATTGTTGATTTTATACCTGATAAAGCTGCCATTTAAATGTATAATATAATACTTTTGTATGAAACTTGTTTGGTATCTTAAGTATTTTGAAAGCTAAAAAAACTTAGCAATTTGGGTTATAAAATGTCCTCTATCAAAGGTGTGTGGTTACTTTGTAAGCTTATATATTTTAAAGTCTGAAATAAATATTCATTCACAGAAGTTGCAAGAAGGATAACATTTCTCTGTGTGTGTGTGTTTGTGTGTGTGTGTGTGTGTGTATTTTTTTTTTTTTAAGTAGGCTTCCACGCCCAGCGTGGAGCCCAACATGGGGCTTGAACTCACAACCCCTGAGATCAAGCAAGACCTGAGATCAAGAGTCAGACACTTAACCAACTGAGCCACCCAGGCGCCCCATTTCTGTATATTTTAATACTGCTTTTGAAATTCCTTACTATAGAATTGTTGTATTTTAACAGTCACTGGTTAAGATGCTTAATTCTCTGTCAAGTAGCATTAGATGTTGAAGCCTTTTATATTAGTAAGAGGCATTTTAGATTAAAATTTTAACTTTATAGACAAGGAGAACGGTATTTTTATACCTTGGATTTAATTCAGTATTACAGAATTTAAGTTGCAAGTTTTTAAGTATGAATGGATCTCAAAACTAACATTTTTGTGACCTTGGCCATGTATATATTAGTTACTTGGAAGTTTTTTTGGCAGTTTTCATTGGAATAGCTGAGCCTTTTACCTCATTAAGTAGCTTCTAATTTGCTAATTTCATATGTTTGCATTTTCTGTTAGTTTTCCAGTAACTTCAGTTGGTCAGGATACCATGTGTTTATGTGATTCTGGAAAAGATGGTTCTGAAAAGCCTCCTCCTGCTAATTTGGATCTTATATCTAGGAAGAGATTTCACTATATGCTTGATGATAGTAACCATGTTCCTCCTGCCAAAAAAAGTTTGCTCACTTCAGGAGATGACTGTCAAAATTATACCTCTGAGGTAAGATAGAATCATCAAGCAAATAAGATGGTCCTATTACAACAGATACATTTCTGTTTCTTCCTTTAGACTCTTTATATAAAGATAGTTCTGATACTTTTCACCGTAAATAATCCAGCTAAAACTGATTTTGGATTCTCATTTTCAACTAGTTCTAGGTGAAAATTGATGGACGTTAATTAGGAAACCCATTCCTCGTTCTTTGTTATTGGCTCAAAAAAGGCCAAAAGCATCTTGTAGATCTGGATCCTGGCTGTACCCTTTAACAGCTGTGGGACCTGAGTCAGGATATGTTGTCTTTGTGAATGAGTTTCCTGTTGTGTAAAATAGTAATAGTAGTATCATCATCACTATTATCATAATACTTAAAGCTATGCATTGCTCTTAGGAAGAAAAACCAGAACCTTAAAGGCCCTCTATTTGGCCCATTTCTGTCTCTGATCTCACCTTGTGCCTCACTCTCTAACCATATTGGCCGTCTTTCAGTTTCTAGAATGCACCGTATTTCTTCATGTCCCAGGGCATTTTTTTTATTACCTTTTTATGAAACATTTTCTTGCCAAACATACAAACATCTTTATCTCAGTCATCACTACCTTAGGGAAGCCTGAAGATCGTATGCAGATTTGATCAATAGCCACAATGTTAAAGGTTTCTTAGCACCCACTTGTTTTTGTTTCCAATACTCATGATAATTTATCTCGCTGTGTAGCTACACTGTGGAAGAGTTAATTAATTAGTTAATTTATTTTTGGAAAAGTTGATTTAGAATCTATAGTCTCAAAGGGACAGTTGAAAACCAGTAGTCCTTCGGTGAGAGCAGACAACAGAGGCAGTGTATCCTTGTATATCTGATAGGTAGAAGATGGTATCACAGGATGGTTTTAATTTTTCTTATTATGAGTAAGGCTGAACGTCTTTCATTTACTTAGGAGTCTTTTGTATTCCTTTCTCTGTGAAATGACTTTGTATTCTTTAGCCATTTTTCAGTTGTGTTGCTAATCTTTTACATAGAGATTTGGAGGAACTCTGTGTTATGTATGTCCATGAATGAGTTGCATATATTTTTTTCTACTTTGTCTTTTGACTCTACTTTTTGTGTTTTTTTTTTCTTGCAGACTTTTTTTGGTTGATTTTGGCGGGGGGGGGGTGCGGTTAAGATTTTATTTTTAAGTACTCTTTACACCCAATGCAGGGCTTAAATTTACAGCCCCAAGATCAAGAGTCACATGCTCTATCCACTGAGCCAACCAGGTGCCCTGATTTTTTAATACAAAAATTTTCAAGCATTTAAAAAGATACACAGGGAAGTATAATGCATCCCTCTGTATCAGTCACCCAATTTCATCAATTTATCAGCATTCCTTGCAAACATTGTTCTGTTGTGTTTATTTATTTATTTAAAGATTTTACTTATTTATTTGACAGGGAACACAAGCAGGGGGAGTGGCAGGTGAGGGAGAGGGAGAAACAGGCTCCCCACTGAGCAGGGAGCCCGATGTGGGGCTCGATCCCAGGACCCCGGGATCAGGACCTGAGCCAAAGGCAGACGCTTTAACGACTGAGCCACCCAGGCGCCCCAAACATTGTTCTGTTTTAAAAGTATATTCATGACGTTATTATATGCAAAACTAGGCCACCAGTTTATAATGAGCCATTTAAAAATGATAGATGTAGGGGCACCTGGGTGGCTCAGATGGGTCAGCGGGAAGACTGCTTCTCCCTCTCCCACTCCCCCTGCTTGTGTTCCCTCTCTTGCTGTGTATCTCTCTGTCAAATAATAAAAAAATCTTTTTTTTTTTTTTAAAAATCTTTAAAAAAATGATAGATGTACATTGATGTGACTATAAGAACAGTATAATGTCTTTGAGCTTATTTGTGATTTTTATTTTTTAAACTTTGTTTTCAGCATTCTAACAATAAAAAATGCTTATAAAATGTTGAAGTTATAATTGTAAATTCTAGAATGTACACATGCTGCATTCACATAGACATGCAAACATTTTTTATTTTTATGTAATCCCATTTATCAGTCTTTTTATGTATGGCTTCTGGGGACTGTGTTATACATTGAAAGTCTACCTTGAGATTTAGTATAAATTTTTAAGAGTTAACATTAATGATTTGTTTAGAATTTATTTTGGTGTTAGGAAGAGTGGAACCAACTTCATGTTCTCCAGGTGCCTACCTAGTTGTCCCAGCACCATTTGTTGAATAATTCATTTTTTCTCCACTGATTTAAAATTCTACTTACTGGATATTAAGTCCCATATGTATTTGGGTATACTCCTGAATTTTCTTCTACTTTGAGATTCACCTATTTGTTCTGGGGCCAGTGTCCCAGTGTTTTAAATTACTGTAGTTTTTAAATGCTTTGCTATCTTAAATGGAAAGTTTCTCTCTCCCCTGCACATAATTTTCTTATTTTTTTTTTCAAGTTTTTCCTAGTTGGGTATATGTCCTAAAGTTTATGTTAATTTTAAAATTTGCTTGTTCAGAGCTTAAAAAAAAACTGTTGATACTGATACTTAAATTAGGATCATATTAACTTGACCAGTTAACAGGGAAAGTTGATGTCAGAATTGTCATGTTAGATTTTTTCTTTATCCCAAAACATAGTATGTCTTTCCATTTGTTTAATTATTCTTTTATGTCTCAGTGGTATTTTCAGTTCTTCTTCATTTAAATTCTGGTCCATTTCTTACTAGGTTATCCCCTAATAATTTTATCTTGTTTGTTGCCGTTATCATTGAATTCTTTTCTATGTAGAGAGCTTACTCAATTCCCCTTATCATATACAGTAATTTTTCACTTGATTCTGTTGGGTTTTCTAAGTAAACAGTCATATCATCTGTAAATACAATTTTAATTCTTCTCATATACTTGGTATACCTTTAATTTCTTTCTCTTTTCTATATAAGCTAATAAAACTCAAGAAATATCAGAAAATAGTCCTGATAGTAGACATATTTTTCTTATCCCTGATTTAAATTTCCAGTGTTTATGAAGTGGGATGCTGGTTTTGAATTGCAGTAATTATAGTTTATGGTGTTAAGAAAATGTCTTTTTTTTTAAGCATAAATATTATTGGACACTTTCCCCATAAATAGAGAGATGGGGTATTATTTTTCTCCTCAGTTCAGTTGAATTATATTAGTTCACATATTGAATTATCTTTACATTCCTGAGACAGACTCTGCTTGATTATGTTAGTCTTTTGATGTGTTGCTGAATTATGCTTGTACTATTATATTTGATATTTTTGTACTGGTTATAATTGGAATTGCAATTAATATATATATATGTATTTTAAAGATTTTATTTATTTATTTGACAGAGACACAGCGAGAGAGGGAACATAAGCAGGGGGAGTGGGAGAGGGAGAAGCAGGCTTCCCGTGGAGTAGGGAGCCCGATGCGGGGCTCAATCCCAGGACCCTGGGATCATGACCTGAACCGAAGGCAGACACTTAATGACTGAGCCACCCAGGTGCCCCAGAATTGGAATTAATATTAATATTGGTTTATAAAAAGCATTTGAAAGCTTTTCCTCTTTTACTGTGCTCTGGAACATTTTAAGTAACAGTAGCAATGTCTTTTTCATAAATGTTGGTAGGATTTCCATAAGACATCTTTTATGCTAGGGGTTTCTGGGAGGTACATGCTTTCTTTATTAAAAAAAAAAGAAGAAAGAAAGATTTACTTGATAAATGGATTTTTAATTTTTTTTGTTAATTTTCTTAAAACAGGTGTGTTCAAAGGAAATGATAAATGTTTCTGAGGAAACAGGTGAGTGAAATAAATTTTAATGTGATTACATTTTGCTGTTTTTGATGCATCTATTCAAATTTGGAATTAGAGAAGAGTATTGCTCACTTTCTCTAAGAATCTTGCTTTTATTATTAGAAGTTTTTCTCTCCAGCTGAGATCTTGGATTTGGCACTCCTATAGCCATATGAAGCTACTTTAATCCTGTAATTAATAGAAAACCATGTGGCTACCGGATTTCCTGTAAAAGCTTAATAATTATATTTTAGGAATTAGAAAGCTGAGCATAAAAGAGTTTTTATAGTTCCTTAAGTTTACCCAGAGATTAGAAAGTGATAACTCTCATTTTGCTAGTTGAAGATACATTTATCGAGAAAGATTTTCTAGGTCAAAATATGTTGATAGGACTATTTTGTATCTGAATGAAAAAAGTATTCTAACCATACTTTTTTCACCAGCTACAATCCAGATGACTTACATATTAATAATTTATAATTTAGCTTACTCTTATTAGAGTAGATTTATGATAGAATGTCATGATTTCTTTCCTTCAAATATTGCAGTTCAGTCGGATATATAAATTTCAATATGTGTCCTCTGTGCTTATGATTTCTCTTTGTTTTTTGAAGGGGAGTCTTACAAGGAACAAGGTATCTTCCCTACCTCAGGAAGCACACATACAACTCCAGGACCTCAGAAAGAGCAACTTGAACCAACTTCTCAGAGTATAGGATCTGGATCTCTTGATAAAGTAACAGATACACATATAGGAAAAAGTACATCTCAGTTACCTCAGGATGAGAGGATTGTGTCTGATAAGGAGGAGAGAACTTGTGCTGCTTCGAAGTCTGAACAAATGGATAGCATCCCATCATCTTCAAAAACCCCATTATCCAGGTACCGTGAGATGATCTTTAACAAATGGTAGGGTAGGGGCGCCTGGGTGGCTCAGATGGTTAAGCGTCTGCCTTCGGCTCAGGGTCCTGGGATCGAGTCCCGCATCGGGCTCCCTGCTCAGCGGGAAGCCTGCTTCTCCCTCTGACTCTCTCTCTCTCTCTCTGTCATGAATAAATAAATAAAATCTTTAAAAAAACAAAAACAAATGGTAGGGTAGAAGTAACCTATATGCAACGGATATAACATATATGTAAAGACTAAGTTCACTACTAAGGATGATGTTTTATAAACATATCCTTTTGTCAGTAATGTAAAGGGAAGGAGTTTTATCAAAGGAAATTCGTAGTCAACATTTTTTTAGGACTCTTCAGATAAATACACATTCCGTATAACAAGAGCTTAACTTTAAGTGCCGAAACTAACTTTTTAGGTAGAAAATCTGCATTGGCATCTGCTGGTATGATGGTATACCAGCTACTGGTATACAATGATCAAAATAATAATGATACTGAGCAGATATGCTGGTACCACTAATGTGGTATCACCTGTGCCATTTTAGCATTCATGGAAAGAAGTTGGTATTAGGAGTGTATCTTCCTGGATATTCTTGAATATCTTTACATTTGCATTTCTAGACCTGGCAGAAGACCCCTGGGATTTTTGTCTTTAATATGTTCAAAGAATAGTTTGGAGTCTGATGAACCTACTCAGGTTTATAATAAGAAACGTCTAAAACCTCTTATACCTATACCAAGAAAGAATTTGAAAAGATCAAATCCACTCACTGAAAGCCAGAAGAAAATCCAAGAGTCCTCTGATCAGCTTCCATCTGCAAGCGTTGTTGATACTCCATCTGAGAGTATTGGCAGTTCAGCAACTCAGGTACGTGGTAACTGTTACATTTTATTGTTTGTATAGAATGGGTTAGAAATCAGACTCAACTAGGAAAAACATGGCGATTGGTATTTTCATTTGGATGTTAGAAATTATTTCAGAGCATCTCTTGTCTGTCTTCTCCCCATCATACCTCACACTATGAGAGAAGAAGATAAGGTGTTGACTTAGGAAATTACAGCTCCTTTAGTACAGAGCCATTTAAGCTGGCCATACATGGACACTTAATTGCCATTCCTTTAATGCAAAGAGCTTTCTGACCTGTGGAAGCAAAACAAAGCAGTGCTGATGTTTTATTTGCTTTTGGGGAAATGTCCTGACACCCATAAGAATTCAAGGAATGGTAAAATTAGAATTTGTTTGCATGTTTCATTTCTCTACATGCTGTAGATGTTCATATGGCAAGTCCTGGGATGGAAAAATAAATGAACTTGTATCAAAAACTTTGGAAGAGCATTAGGGTTGGTTACTTAGGATTTCAACACAGAAAAGGCTGGTGACCTTTTGGATAGCATGAGTCTCAAAAGGAGTACTTTTGTAAAGACTGTCTTTAAAATTTTTTAAAATACTTTATATTTCCTAGAACTATTTTTTGGAACCAGTATTTTATGACTCTTTACTATTGCCAAATTATTGTGGAGAACAGTTGTTACAATTACCAGCAATGTAACTATGTCAGTTAAGTCACATTCTTGCCAGCTTTAGATATTAACTTTTCAAAATAATTTTTCTTTAATATAATAGTAGAGGGTAGAAATGTAATTTCATCTGTTTAATTTGCATTTCTTTCATTATTAGTGGCTTGGCTTTTTTCTCATACATCTACTAGATTTTTTTCTCTTTTTTTTCTTTTTTGTTCCTATCGTTTGCTGATTTATAGCTTTTGGGATCTAGGTGGTTTTTTTACCAACTTACGTGAGATCCTCATGTAAGAAAGCCACATACCTTTTAGCTCTTTACTGCGAGTAATTTTTTCAAATTCATTTACTTTTTAAAATTTTGTAGGGTTTTTAATATACACATAAGCTTTAAATGTTTAGTCAAATCAGTTTTTTCTTTACAATTTCTTAAATTGCTTTTATGATTCGGAAGTTTTTCTCCATAGGTATAAAACGTTCAGTAAGCAGTTTTAAAACTAACTTTGTTTAGGGGCGCCTGGGTGGCTCAGTTGGTTAAGGCTGCTTCTCCTCCCCGCCCTCCTGCTTGTGCTCATTCTCACTCTCTCTCTCTAATAAGTAAATAAAATCTTAAAAAAAAAAAAAGATTTTATTTATTTGAGAGAGAGAAAGAGTGTGAGTGTGGCAGGGGGAGGGGCAGAGGGAGAGAGAGAATCCTAAGCACACTGTTCTAAGCACGGAGCCCAACTCCAGCTGGATCTCACCACTCTGAGACCACGACTTGAGCCAAAATGAAGGGTCTGACACTCCACCATCTCAGACACCCAGGTGCCCCTCTCTTTTTTTTTTTAATTAAATTTAAATTAAACTTTTTATTATGGGATAATTGTAGATTCACATGCAGTTGTGAAAAACAATACAGAGAGATCCCATGTACCCTCCATCCAGTTTTCCCCACTGTTAACATCTTACAAAAACTGTGGTACAAAATCACAACCAGAATATCAACATTGCCACAGTCAAGATACAGAATTCTATCACCACAGTGATCCTGTGTGTTGTCTTTTATAGACACACGCACTTACATTGCACCCCCACACTCTCCTTAACTTCCGGCAACCTGTTCTACACCATTAAATTTGTCATTCTGAGAATGTTATGTCAGTGGAATATTGTATACAGTTGTGTAAATGGAATCATACATTTAGAATTCACTTTTTTTCCACTCAGCATAGTTCCCTAGAAAGTCATCCAGATGGTTTTATGTATTTATTCCTTTTTATTATTGAATAGTATTCCATAGTATGTTATCAGTCATGTTTATCCTTTCACCAATTGAAGGGCATATGGGTTATTTTCAATTTTTGGCTGTTATGAATAAAGCTGCTGTGAACATTCATATCTAAGTTCTTATGTGAACATAAATTCATTTTTCAGGAATAAGTGTCCAAGCATGCCCTCATTATTTTTAATGACTATATCATATCCCACTGTTTTGATGTACCATAGAACAATAATGGTCTCACCCTGGTAGACATTTAGGTTATTCCTAATGATTTGCTGTTTCAAATAATATGGTAATAGCTAACTTATAAATGAGTGATTTTGCACATTTATCTATAGGTTGAATTCCTGGAAATAGAATTGTTGGATCAAAAGGAATGATTATTCTTTTGAGAGATACTGCTTTATTGTCTTCCATAGGGAATATATCAGTTTCTATTCTTAGCAGCAGTATAGGAGAGGGCCTTTTTCCTCACACTAGCATGTAATCAATTTTTTTCACTTTTGGAATTCTTCATAGATTTAATGAGCATATGAGTGAGGTTGAGTACTTCTTCATGTATTTGAATCATTTATGCTTTCTTTGTGAAACATCTGTTCATATGTTTGATTCTTTTTTTTTAAGATTTTATGTATTTGAGAGAGAGAGCGAGCAAGCAAGCACAAGCAGGGGGAGCAGCAGAGGGAGAGGGAGAAGCAG